GTGGGGACCTTCCATTGACTTCCATTCATGTTTTTAGACTTTATAGCCTAACCCTGACCATATACTTTATAATTAACCTCGCAGGTACCTACCTGACTCTAAAACTAACCTAAACCTTGGTCCTAAACCTAATCCCACACCCGTAATTTGCCTTTGGACCTCTAGGGACCTGGCAGTGGACCCCACGATTCACTTCAGTCCCCACAAGGCAGCTTTTTAGGGAAAATCGTCCACACGTTGTAGGAAAAACCCGCACACCCACACACACAATGAAGAAAACCCAAAACGGAAAGTCGACCTGTCATCCTGCAGCTCCAGGTCTTCACATTTAACACAGATTGTCCTTCTATGACTAATATTAGGATGTGTTTTAAGCGCCTGTGAGCTGCCGATCACACACTGTGGACCCTCAGAAACCTGTCCTCTGATGTTGCTGTGGCTCTGAGTCTGCCACAGCTCTTCTCCTCAGACTTTCCACCAGTTTCTGAGAACATTGTGATGGTGAAGGAAACTGGACTCAGACACCTTGACTTTCAGCTTTATGCAATTGTACATTTTTTCTTAAACCTCTGGCAGTTCAGCACTCACCCTTTGCGCCCTTTCAAGCTGTTCATTGAACTTGAGCTGCTTGAGTATCAAATAAAAAACTGGAAAAATGAGAATGTTATAAAACTTTTGACCTGTAGTGTATATATTGTATATATTACACACCCAAATACCCAAAATGTATCTTAATGYTCATGTTCTGCATCTTGTCTCCTGTTTCTAGTGTGTATTTTAATGTTACAGCACCACATACAGGCCTGGCATTGTTACTACAGTCTTTTGGATCTTGTGTTTCCATGTGGACGAAAACATTTCCARATGCTGTACCAAGAATATTTTTAGAAAAGACAAGAAAAAAGTTCCTGTGTGGACGAGGCCTGCGTCTTGTGACCTTCTGTACCACATGCAGTGTTTAACCAGTAATTCAGGTCATTTTCAGTCAAATAAACAGTGTGCACACCAGTGCAGACTGTTGCTCACAGTGAGCTCTCTCTGCGCTTTGCCTTTGAATTACAACTGTTATGAATTTCAAGGATGGAAAGAACCCCAGGATGTAGGACTGAGTCAGGTGGCAAAAACAGGTTTAAAAAGCAAAACAAAAAGCCGGCGTGGCAGCAAACAAGATACTAGGACTTGACTTGGCAAGAGACAACAACAGAAAACAGTGAACAAAGATCTGACACAGACTGAAGACAGAGAACAGAATATAAAGGAGAACTAACAAGCAGAAGCAAGAAACACCTGGGAGAGAAACATGAGAAACAGGTGAGAGTGGGCGGGGCTGGAGCAAAGACAGGCAGGAGGGRGTAAACAGAGAGGGACAAGACAGAAAACCAGACGAGAACCAAAATAACAGAAGAACCCAGACAAACCTTAACAACAACAGCAAACGTCTGATCAAAGTCTACACCAGGGGTGGGCAATCCTGGTCCTCGAGGGCCGCAGCCCAGCAGGTTTTATGATTTTCCTGCTCCAACACACCTGATTCAGACATTGAATTACAAAGTTCTGCAGTATGGAGGACTGACACTGACATAACTAGAAAAAAATGAAATAAATGGACCAATAAATAAATTCAATTAAAAATGTGCCAATTAAATTTAAAAAAGGAGAGCTTAACCTGACGTTTTGTAATTTAATTGACCTTATTATTTATTTTTCCAACTTAGTTCCAACTAATAATATATTTGTAAGAACCCTGCTCCATGA